AAAAAAAATAAAGCAAGCCATATGATAGAGTGATTGGATGCTGAAGGTTGTAATTAGAAAGATGGTTGGACCATGGAAGAGGGGTTCAACTCTAAAAGTATCCATGTAATTCAAGTAGCTCATCCTATTTATTTTAACATGTGATGTATAAAGTCAGCTTCTTAAATTATGCTAAAAACATGTTTCAAGACATACCAGAAAAAGTTTAGTGCTTTAGCAGTGATTTGGCATCACCTTTTACATGAGTTCATGTTCCAGTGCATTTTGTTATTTAGGAAATGTAAGAGAACATCGTGTCCAAAATACTTTCTGAGTACAAGGAAATGAAGACACTGTGATTTAAATTCAATGACCCTCATTAGTCTGGTATCAATAAAGAGAACTAGTTAATCAATGCAGCTAGGAATGAGTAGTCTCTGGAAAGCCCATGAGCAAAGTCTTTGGGCTACAGAATGTTAGCATGAAACACATTAGGAAAAAACTGCTGAAGCAAGTAATTAGTCACTAGAATAATTTCACTAAAAGAGTTAAGTTAGCAAATATTCTATTTTTCAAGGATATGAACTGCCTCAGTGCAAAATTATGACATAGCAAGCATAAAAAATTTGTATTTTTACCAACTCTTTATCTAGACAGTGTAAAATAACAGCTCTAAACTGACAGACCATGCAGCCTGTGAAGTCAAAACAGAATGATTAGTTGCAACCAGTCCTTTGGTTTAGGAAACAACAGACATCCTGGCTGCATATCAAAAACATTTAACCCATTAGGGGTTGGCAACCTTTTGCCACCACCTGTAACACCGCAATTCTCCACCCTCCTGGATTACCTAAGAGACCTGTGCTTACTTTTGCCAGATTAAAGTGGACAGTGGTCATGGAAAATGTTAAATTTGGCACTGCCATAGAACACAGCAGGGAAGGCTGGGCAGTCAGCTGATGCTGCAGAGGGAATAAATGGAACCAGACAGACAGTAGGACTCTGGCTTTTTCTGATATTATACAAATCTTTCTCTCTCCTTTACTTTCTCCCTCCCCCTGTTTCAAAAAGCCTTTTGAAAAATACCTATACACATGATGGAGTTCGGATCTGACGTGTGCTAATTAGCATGCATCAGAGCAGACTTGATTAATCGAGTCTACTGCAAGTCTGATGGAGCGTGCTAATTAGTGCACTCCAGCAGCCTTCGTGACACGTGTATTCAACGAACCCGCATTTCAAAATAGCAGCAGGGGCGCTTTAACTAAAGCTCATTAAACGAGCTTTAGTTAAAGCACCCCTGCCACCATTTTGAAGTGCAGGACGCTGAATATACATGACACTGAGGGTGCTGTAATTAAAGCGCCCTCTCCACCCCAGAGTATGTTTATACATAACTACTGAGCCTGGCTGAAACAGTCCTGGGCTGGCAGGCTGACCCTCTGGGCCTCCTGCCAGCCGGGGCTGCTGTAAGCCGATTCAATATGCTATGGTCCAAGCTCATGTGTAAACCATGCACCCAAGAGCTTCCCGGGAGCAATAAACTGCAAAGCAATAAGCTCTTCAGCTTATTGTTGCCTGTTAATGGCTTATGTAGATGCACCCACTGGGTAGATCCAAAATGACTTCTTATTTTCCTTTAAGTGGATTCATGTCTGTGAAATGAAGTATTCTATGTGGAAAAGTTGAATAGGCATTATGATCTGGGCATCTCAGTCACTTATTTTCTATAGTAAACTAAATAAATTGCTAAGTACCCGCGTTATCCAGTGACAGCTTTAACAACTTTAAAATGTAAATTAATTTGATAATATTTTAACATGTGAAAGTGTTTCTTCTTTCAAGGACCTTCCTAATTTTACTCCAGGAAACATGACAAATATTTAATTTAGACATGCTTTGTAATACTATCATATAAATGCACTTCAACTGAGGCACGTATGAATTTATTTGAATTTGAAATGAAATTTTATCATAACATACTGGACCATGAGAAACTCTTAAGTTTTTCATTTCAAAATAAAGTTGTGAAAAATTAACTCCATTTCACTACGTTCGGTTTCCATGCTGGTACAGCCAAGACCCACATTGGCATACAAGAACTTCGGCCAGCAAACTTTCCAAGTCATGGGCTGAAACAACTCCGCTCCAGTTCCACATGGGTTCATTGGCTTCTGTGATCTGGCAGAGACAGGGAGTTTCCCCTGTGCCTGCATCAGGGCCAGGCTGTTGGGAGCCACCTCTGCTTCTCCCAGCCCCTTGTTTCCCCGTTGGGGTGCAGTCACAGCTTCCAGCCAGTGGGGAGGTGAGCTGTGGCTAAGCATCCATACTGCTGTTGCTTCTCTCTCTCCAGGCTCTCAGTTGTAGCACAGAAGTGGCAGCAGGGTAGATAACAGCTTTCCTGGTACAACTCACCACTGGCTGGAAGCTGCGCCCATGCTGCCACCAGGGAGAGGCTAGTGGGTGGGAGGAGGAAGCAACAGTGGCGATGATGCAGCTGGAAGTTATCTGGTCCCAGCACAGCTCCTTGCTACTGGCATGGGCGACTGGTACCTCCTAATACTGGGGGAGGCGCAGTCTCCCAGTGCAGCGGCAACCCAGAAGTGCCACTGGCACTTCTCTCAGGGGGTGCATGTACACCCGTGTGCACCCCCTATGTATCGCCAATAGCTACAGGCACGGGCAAAGCCTTCAGGCGCTGCGGGTCAGATCCAGTCCATAGACTATATTGCCAACTCCTGTGCTAGAAAACAGATTACTTATTTTACCCTACTTCCCTGCTCCTGCTTCACCCTGTGGGCACTGGATGTTTATCAACAGGGGAATAAGTTCGCATAAGCAACCACTGATGGGAAACGCACTCTGTAAGTGTTGCTGTGAGGTGACGTGCTAGGAGACAGTAAAATAAAAAGTAATATTTCTTTTAATCTCTTCCTCCCTCCCTATAATCTAAGTGATTTACTTTTAGAGTTTGTTGGAATGGTTTCAGTAACATGCAAGAGACTGTTTTAGCCCCTTTTATACCTTTCTGAAATACTCCAGATTAATAGGATCATAGGAAAGTAGCACTGAATAGGACTCCTTACAAGATCATCTAGTCCAGTCCCCTGCTCAAGGCACAATCATCCCTAGCTAAATATTTACAGACAAGTGCCTTTCTATCCTGCTCTTGAAAACTTCCATGGATGGAAAATCCACAATTTCTCCGGGTAGCCTGTTCCAATGGTTGACCATCCTTATAATCAGAAAGTTCCTCCTAATTTCTAATCTAAATTTCTCTTGCTGCATCTTGAGACCACTGATCTTAATTCTGTCCTCTTTGGTTATGGAGAACAGCCCATCTCCATCCTCTCTGTAATTGCTCCACAGGGCAATTACAGGGATGATTTGAGGAGGGATTTGACTGTTATCAAATCTTCTCTACTCCAGACTAAATAACACTAGTTCTTTCAGTTTTTCCACATAAATGTTGCCTCCCAGGCCCCTACCTATTTTTGCTGCTCTGCTCTTCTCTGTCCAGACATATCCTATTTGAAATGTGGGGCCCAAAACACGAAATGGCACTCCAGGTGAGGCCTCACCAGTGCTGAATAGAGTAGACGAATCACTTCTCTTGATTTGCAAGTGACACTCCTGTCAATATAACCCAGGATGCTCTTTGCTTGTTTTGCAATAAAAGCACACTTTTGGCTCATATTTAGCTTATGGTCTACTGTAACCCCCAGGTCCTTCTTTGCAATACTGCAGCTTAGCCAGTCATTCCCTAATCTGTATTTGTGCATGCAGTTATTTCTGATTTTTCCCATACCTAAATCATGGCAATATATCCACACTGGTACATAAATATTTGTTAGTGCAAATTAAGTTATTTTAATTCAAACACTTAATTTGGTTGGGTAAACAAAAGAAAGCCAACTCTGGTTTAATTTTCACATAAGATGTAGCTCATCATTTGAGCTATCCTGCTTGTACTATCTTATTTCTTTTGCTGAAAATACTATACTAAAGTGTCTAGAGAAGTGTTTCTTTACCTTCTAAGTCCTGGAGAAAAGGACTTGTTGCAATCACAAAATAAGAGCCATACATATCACAGTCTTAACTGTATCCAGTATTGGTCATTGGAAGCTATCAAAAATAGTGGCACCATGCAAATGTAAACTGTACCTGCCCATTTGTTCAGACCCACAGTTGTTTAATATCGTACATCACTGTGATTACAGACAGACACTATTGAAGTAGAAGTCATACTCTGTGGAATACTGTTTCAGCATCCATAACATTTTTTCTCATTTACACTGACGGAATTTATCAAACTCTCTCTACTGTTGACACAATCAACCAACTCTGAAATGAGGGGCTATAAATACTGTCAGAGCAGGAGATACTAAAATGCCAAACAAGTAAGTCCTCATTTGAAGTTGAAACATTTATTTTGAATGAGCACTGTGTGATTAAGCTGCTTGTGAGGTCAAGATAATTTACTCTGGCAACTAGCCAATCTCAGCCTGGGTACCACTTGATATTAAAAATGCAAGCCTTCAAATCAACCCTCTTGCCATGTCTATCATTTACAACTTAGCAGCTTCTTATTTATATATATTTACTAGTACGCCTTCATTTGAATTAAAAAAAAAAAAACCATATCCAGATCCCCAATGTTCAAGGTACTTGTCACAATGACAGACAGAGTTAAACAAGCATGCTTTTTACTCTCGAGCCTCTGTCTTCCTCCAGTTCTCCAGCTGTTCACAACCACAAGATCCTGCAGAGTACAAACAACTAAAATGAGCTTTACTCATTTAGTCTAAATCCTTCTTACTCTTGGAACAATATTGTCTTGGCCAAGTACCAAAGAATAGAGTGTACCACCCCATCATATGTTAAGACTACCTATTGAGTTGCAGTATTTTGATGGCACTTTAACTGAGCTCTTATTCAAACACTCTGACACAGAAATGCCACATTTAATGAGCTCTGATGCAAGCAATAAAGCCCTTTTTCTTGGGAGGGGGGAGTCTTACCTTTCGTAGCTATTCGAACACACTGAGTTTTAGTTTCCTGTTGAGAGGAAAAAATACAGAAAATGCAGTCAGTCTTGTTTCAACTTCTGCTTCACAATAGTTCTTGAACATGGGGTAGCTGAGCAATGTTGTGAAGGGTTCTCTGCTTATTTCTGGCGAGTGATGAAGGAGGAAGAATTTTGCATCTACAAAAGCAGTGAGCTACGTAAAATGTTACCAATTCTTAAGCCTTCTATATATTGAGGTATATTTTCCCAGAAAAGAACTTGAACACAGAAATGCATGTATATGCACACAAATATTATTTAGTAGTTCATGAAAGGGGTGAGACTGTTGAGTAGCCAGAACAATTAATTGGTTTTGCCCACTGGCTTAAGTTAGGGAGGCAGTTTATCACAACTGAAGTTGGGAATTTATGGTGCAAATTCTCTATGTGCCCTAAGATTCTATAAAATAAATATTTTTTAAAATATACATATATATGAATATTTTAGTCTTCAAAATCTGTTTTAACAAGTATGTAGAAAATTATCATAACTACTCTATTTAACCAGATCTGCTTATTTTCTTTGCAAAACAGTGCATCTTTCCTGGGATACGTTTTCTCATAAAAGTTTTCTTTATTTTTTTCCTGATCTAATTCCCTACTTGCAACACAAATTGCTAGATATGAACAAAATTATTTAGTTAAAAACACCTGAGCCAACTTCTTTGATAATGTATTAGGTAAAAATAAGTGAGGCCATAACCCAAGGCTTTGACAAGTTTCAGTGCAGAGAGATTTCTCAGCTCAGGTAAAAGCACTATGAAATTCAACAACAGAATCTTAACAACATTTTAAGTACAGCTATTTTTGTGCACATGCATTTAAATTCTCTGTGGAGACCACAATGAGAGTTGGCTCCCAGTCTGACAGAGCACTTATGCAAAACACCTAATTGTAAACTTATGAAGACTTACACTTGAGTAAATGCTTGAAAGTTTTGTAGATTAAAGGCCATGCAGGTTATGGTAAAACTGAGACACACCAGAAATTGGAAATTAAAATCACCCCCCAAAAAAAGAAAAAATCTGTTGCAAAACTTTAAAATCATGGCAGAGAAAACCACTTCACACTTGCAACATCCTCTCTCAAACGGACATTCAAAGAAAAACACAATTAATTTCTCTCTCACTTTTTGTTCATTTCTGTCAAAGTACAGAAATAAAAACACGGATTTGTGGCTTTTTTTCATAATGGCTGTATTGTTTATATTTTCCACTCATTATAAACTGTATGAGACAGCAACTGCCTGAGAACCTACCAACAAAACCACTTTGATGGGGGCTAACAAAGCAATTAGATGAGTTAAATGTAGAAAATGAAGGAAAAGTGTATGAGGATGTGACAAGTACTTTCATTCCCTTTGTTTGCATTACATAAATCTCCCCTTCAGAAATATCCTCCAACCCTGTATGCAATTCAACAAATGAATGAATCTTCCCCAACGTGGCAAGTAATTTTCATACTTATAGGTAAGACTGTTAAAAGGGGAAAGTGACAGAGCCATTACCTGTGATCTCTTTAGCCACAGCAGAAATTCAAATGGAAGGGTACAAATGACTCCTATTTCTTTAGGGAAGGCCTCTGTGAATATTGCCTTTATCAATCTAGCTGCGATTTTCCTATATAGCAATTTTCCTTAATCATGTCCTTCCCATCCCTCCATACTGTATAATTCTTAAATGGAATTTTTAAGTATGTCAAGTTACTGTGCTGAACACTATGTCTGTGCCACACACACTTTCACTTGACAACGGCATGGGGTTTGACGAGTTATGTTGTTTTTCAAAACTGGAGCCCCCCCTTTGCAGTATTTAATTTTCTGTGTGAATATGGAATAGAGTGGTGACAGGATCAGCAGCAGTGCTCAATAACTGTGTCATCAACAACTAAATAAGGAGGGAATAAGGGCAAGCCACAGCCATACCTTTTCTACTATGCAGCAGTCAAGGGATCTTAAAGCATATTTGTGTGGAAAAACTCAAACAGAGCATGGACATGGGGTTATTCACACCCAAAGGCCCTTTTTTTAAAAACATTCTATTTAGTGTTGTGTGTGAGAGCCCTGAAAAGTTTCTAACGTTTTATTAGCCTGCTGAGCAATTTCATTCTATTTACCCTGCAAGTCTTGAGACTTGGGAGAAGAAGAGCGGATGTTACTTACTGAGAAGGCAGAATCACACAGCCGAAATTATTTCATTCAAGTTATTATTCTGCGATGTATTAAATTCTCATCTAGTAACTGTTACTATGAAACAGGAGTCATGTGAAATATAAATGGCAGAGTGCCATACTGTTGCAGTAGAGAGGACAGCACAGTTTAGAACAGCATCACCAAACCACATCTAACTTTCATAATCCCTACTTTCACCAAAGATACCTCCCCCCACCCCCTCAGTTATTTTCTGAAGGTCAACATGGTTGGCGCTTACCTTCTCAACACTGCTCATGGCTTGGAAATAGATATTGTAGCCTTTCCGAGGAGCAAGGGGTGGGTTCCAAAAGCCCTGGTAAGTTCTGTTGTCACCAACAGTGAAAGGGGCTGGTTCAGGCAAGTTACCAGGGGGCAATTCAGCAGCAAAGTAGTACGGGGAGCCTCCACTTAAAGCACTTTGGTACGTGACAGGGATTTGGTAGCATTCCATTGTGCCCGTTTCTCGCTTTGTTCGGTGTGGATGCAGCTCCTCAACAACAATCTGGTAGGCACTTTTAAAAGACAGAAAAAACAACTTCAAGTTCACTTGCGATGGTTTCTTTTTATGGTGCCCAAAACCATAAGACCCAGTCTGTGGTAGTGCTTTTGTTTTAATACACTGGATGCAGAACAGAAACAAGCTTGCCAAAGTTAGGTCAGTGCTTATGCAATTCAGAAATTTAAAACCTGACCCAATGCCTAATACCTTGTTTTAAAGATCTGAGCCATAGATTACCCATAGAAAAGTAAGAGCCACTAATTTTATATCATACCTATAAATATTTTATTTTGAAGACCCTTTCAGAAGAGTTTCTTTCACCATTTTCCCCCCTCTAAATACCCAAAGGAACAACACACAAGCAAACTAACCCATAAACCTCTCAACATTGGTATCCTTTGAAATTTTGTTAAGAAACCTAGAATGAATCTGACATTAACCACAGACATTGTAATAGATTAAGCTCTTTGTCTGATTTTCTGAAGCATTTGAAGTTAGCGTTTTCCTTTGAAATTATATTATAGAAAGCTCAGCTTCAAGGCCTGACATAAGGACTGCCTTTAGGCTGTGCTTGAAGCACCAATTTGCAGTCGTCATATCATTAGAGACAGAATGTGCTGACAGGCTTCTGCACCTCTTGACCTTGCTGTGGCATCTATCTTGGCTCAGAGCTATGCAGATCTAAAGTACAAGTGACATACTGTAATATAAGCACAGATGGACAGAAATCTGTCCACTCCGCCAAAATAGACTGCATCATTTCTCTACAGTAGGCAATGATAAAATGTTACAAATTGCTGAAGCAGATGGCATTCAGCCTATTCCAACCCAAACCCACCAATACCTTTCTTGAAATGTCCCAAAGCTTGGTCACTTATCTAAATTACCTTCTTTATTTAGAGAAGGTAATTATAATTCTTCTTTCCCCTGCAGGGAAACTACATAACTACAGTATGTTACCAACTCATTACCACCATCGGCTGTTCTGCCAGCGTACAACACAGAACAAAAAGGAATTAAGGGAATTATTTGCTTAAAAAAAGGAAAAAAGAAAACCAGAAAGAATGTTTTTTGGGTTTTTTTTAATTTTAAGTTTATCAAAAAGCCTATAGTATTATATGAAAATATCTCTGAGGACTTAAAGAATGAATCACTCAAATTGTCAGTACTAGTGGGAAAATATCCCTGGTCAGGTATAAGCAACTGCATTAAACAGACAAGACTGACTGTTTTATTTCTGAATTAAAGCCTTCTAAAAATCTAAACAGTAGGAGTGAAACTAGCCATGGTTCTGGAAGTGTCACTATGTTGCTATAGAGAGGCGGGAATCCAGCTGTCCATTTTTAGGAATAATGGGTAAGAGTTAAACAAATAACTTTATTCATTCTCTTTATTGCTATCCTAGAAAAGCTAACAGAAGCAGTAGCAGAGTTGTAGTATGGCCTTGGGTTGTGGAGAGAAGGAAAGGAGAAGAAAATAGGATACTTGTTGCTCATACTTTTAGGATGATATAGGAAACTAATGTTCTCACTCATGGTAACCAAGAGATAAGGAAGAAAAGCCCCTTCCCTTTCAAAGCAGCTGAGCTGGATAAGATAAAATTAACTTTGAAAAATGAAGAGAAAAAACAAAACAAAACAAAACAGGGAAAGTCTCTTCACTTGCAGAAACCTGGGGTTCTCTACATGGACTGGACTGGGGTTGTAATGTATTATCTTCCATGCTAGCCTGTAACTGATAGCTGTCCATTTAACATTAGATATTAACTTAAAAAATCATCTGATGAAGGGACTTCCTCCACAAAATGCCTGCATAAAATAATTCTACCTTCAGTCTATTACTGCTCACACTAGGAAAGAAGCTCAGTGCATGGATACTTGCCAAAGCTGACAAGATCCAGGGGAGGACCCAGGAGGTGCAACGGTGCATTCAAACCCAGCTTCCACAGTGAAGGTTACATGCCAGTGGTTCTATTTCCCCATGGTCTTGGATGCCTGGTTCCTTTGCACGTCCAAGGCATAACTGGAGCCCCAGGCTGGAGTGCAACATCAGGGAACCAAATAGGGAGCAGGTAAGGAAAGGCAGACCCATGTGCTGCCACTGCTATCTGCAGCGGCCCCGGGAGAGGGGGAAGACCCAGGATTGCTCCTGCCTCACTCCAGCAGGGGGATGCAGGGAACAGCTGCATGGGGTGCTGGGTCCCTGCTTTCTCATCTTCCACCATGTTTTCTTCACTGGCCTGACAGCTCCAGCTGCAGGAAGCAGCTGTGCAGAGAGCCAGGTAGGGCTTGGGAATGGCAGTGTCAGTTGGCAATTCCTGCCAGACCATGGGGATACTGGGGAGTGGGCAGGGAGGAAGCATGCTTGTTTCCTGCGTGCCCCAGATGATCCCTGAAATCTGGAAGCAGACGCTAGAAGGGGTGACAACCACCACTGCCACTATCCCCAGCCAAGCCCCATACCCTATGTTGCTGCTTACCAAAGTCTCTGGGCTGGAACAGGACAGGAGTAGGCCTGGGGGTCCCCTGCCCCCAGATCAGCTAGGGGCAGCAGGAGCAACAGCAGGTACCTCTCCACTTCTTGTACCCAGAGCCAACCCTTGCTGGAGACAAGGAGAGGGAAATGGGAGGGGAAGGGAGATGCCTGCACTGGTAGGGAAGGGAGATACCTGCACTGGAAGGGAGGGGATGCCAAGAGCTGTGGGGGGAAAGTCTTACCCCAGCAAATGCTGCCATGGAATCAGGTGGGAAGGGGAGGACACTGCAACCCCCCTTAAGATACTGCTGCGATTCCCCACCCCCACCCCATTTCAAATTCCTGGATCCACCCATGACGAGATATATACCATGAAGTTAAAAAATCATTTGTATTTTAAAATGTCCCAGGAGAAATTACTACAGACACCCATTTCCTTTTGTTCCTGCCCAGAAGTCATAGCTCCTGAGCTGGACAACCAAATGGTTTACTGTATTGGGAACATGAGCATTGTGGTTTTTCTCCACACTCAGTCACTGCAGCTCTTTCTTGTGAGCAACCAACGGATTGGAAATGACAAGAATTCTGCTCTGAAATGCCGAGAGAGCAGGAAAGTTGTCAATTTTAATATCCAGTCAGCGTACAAGAATAAAGCCAGCAGGACAATGCAATGTGCACACATGTGACTGCAAGAAAACCACCCCCTGGAATATAACAGTGTGTTATTCAGCTCAGAAGTTGAGGCTTCAACAGTTTCACATCAACCATTCCCCTCCTTCCCCCCCCTTCCCCCCCCCAAGTAAATATGCCCCTTGCAAGGGATTTTCTTCTTTTTAATAAACAAAAATGTGATGGAGGGAGATGAGAAAGAAGGTAACAAATCAGGCATGTTAACTGTAACAGCGGCCTTACAATTTGTTGCAACCATTTTAAAATTATTTTGCATGAAAATACGTGGCAATAGTTTCAGCAAATAACCTGAGGAAAACCTGAGCTCTTTGAAGAATTTTCATGGAATACTGTATCAAATTCAACAATTGATCCTGAAACCATAAACTATAGAATATCAGAAATCACTTTATCTGCTCAGTTTGATGGGACACCTGCATCCTGTCAAATGATTTTTAAGTACAGAAACAATTAGCATTATTTATCGTATGTAATTTTTATGTTCTATAATTATCAGGCAAACATTTCTATACCTTTAAATTTCTCTAACACTTCTGTTTCTTTCAAACTGTAAGCCAGCATTTTACACTCTCCTAAATCACGTAAAAGGCAGCTTTGGAAATTCAGCCTTTTGTAACAGGCTCCCTAGAATCTTTCTTGCATGCCAAACTGGAGGTTAACAAAGAAAATGGCATCTAGTCAGCTACCTCTGGACTTTTGGGAACGACATATTTCTAATACTCTCTTTTTAAAAAATGTGCTTGTTCCACAACTGATTGGTACACCAGAAATGCACAACAAATAGTATTAGAAGATTAGGTAGTTTGGTCAAGTTACCGCATAAGTTGGTTTAGACTAATTTTTAAGTGCTGCCTTATCTCCCACTGTAACTCATAGCCCATACTGTTGGATTCACTGCAGAATGGAAACTGTCTGGCTGTATAGGTTCATATAGCACATTTCTAACGAAAGAACCCCCTCACCCACACATACATACCACTGACAAACATTTCAAGTACAGAAACAGAAAAAAGACCAGATTCTCTGTAATGTATATAGCAAGGAACCAGAAGGCACAGTGATGTCAATGGCATACAAGTTGTTTTACTAACTCATTAGGGAGACCTAGGGTAAAACTATAATTCACAAATAAATTCTACATAAAGACCACTGAAGAACAATTATTTTTAACTGTTTCTGGCTGGAGCTGATCCACTCCTAGACTGGTGTTGAAAAACTACACATTTCTCAATGAATGTGTAGTTCTGAGTCATCCAGTCTCCTTCTCCTTTGTATTTCTAGCCTGAAATTTGGTTTAAAACTTCAGAAGGCCAGAAAGAAAACTAGAGAGTATGAAATAACACTTGACAGACAAAGCATGATTAAAATCATGATTATAATTGTGAGTACTGTGGCATGTAGTGTCTAAGGGAGTTGGTGACAGCCATCTGTAGATATAATGTGGATTAAGGAACAGCTGTTTCCTGAATGCTATATCAAAGGAAGAGGCAGAAGTAAAGTAAAACTTCATCATAATGTAGTTCTGCATGTTTTTAAAGCCATAATACGATGTCCTGGGAATTACAGTATAAACAAAAGAGCTATATTTAAAGAGGATTATATGACAGTATTATGATTTTTCCATCCACGGCCCAGAGAGAAAGGTTCTGAGATTCCTGAGTAAGCTATCCAAGTACCCTCATGTTTGAGATTGGGGAGCTGGAGTTGTTCCGTTTTCTGGTCAGAGCTGTAGCACAAACAGAGTTAAGCCCTTGTTAGCATTTTTTACTGTCTGTCTGGTAACACCAACTATGTCAGTGAAACATGCTCATAAGAGAAACAAAACTTCATTTTAAGTCAAGTTAAGAA